CATGCCTGTAATTCCGGCTACTCGGAAGGCTGAGGCGGAAGGATCGCCGGAGCCCAGCAGGTCAAGGCTGCGGTGGCTGGGAATGGCCACTGCACTCCAGTCTGGGCGACAGAGTGAGACTCCAACTCAAAAAAATAAAAAATAAAAATAAAAAAATAAAAAAGAAACAAGGTCTTACTCTGTTACCCTGGCTGGAGTGTGGTGGTGTGATCATAGCTTGCTGCAGCCTCAAACTTCTGGTCTTAAGCAATCCTCCCACAGCTGGGATTACAGGAGCATATTACCACGCCCACCTAATACTTTGATTTGTTCTTGTAGAGATGGGTTTTGTTATGTTGCCCAGGCTGGTCTCAAACACCTAGCCTCAAGAAAACCTTCCGCCTCAGCCTCCCAAAGCGCTGGGATTATAAGCATGAGCCACTATGCCCAGCCAATAAAACAAATTTCTTTAGAATCAAAGTCTCATTCTTCAAATTGCATACAAGGAGAACTAGACAGGTTTTAAGATGCTAGAGCTGCTCTCCATAAACAATTTAAATTTTGACTCTTGTGAACCTGATCAAGTATCTCAGAGAAGCTTCCAAAAGTAGAGTCCAGGCTGGGCGTGGTGGCTCAAGCCTGTAATCCCAGCACTTTGGGAGACCAAGGCAAGAGAACTGCCTGAGCCCGCAGGGTCGAGACCATCCTGGGCAACATGGTGAGACCTCATTTCTACAATAAATCTAAAAATTAGCCAGGCATGGTAGCGTGCACCTACAGTTGTGGCTACTGGAAGGCTGAGGCGAAAGGATTGCCTGAGCTCAGCAGGATGACGCTGGGGTGGCCGTGGGCATGCATGTCACTGGGCGACGAAGTGAGATTCCAACTCAAAAAAAAAAGAAAGTACAGTCCATGGCGTTTCATAGTTATCTAGAGTGGTGTGAAATGCAGATTTGTGGGTTCCACACCAGCTTTACTATAGACAAAAATCAACACCAAATTCAAACAATCTCCCCAAATCATATAAGCAAAATATTGGATTTAAATTCTACCTGTAATTCATAGACACGAACAAATTTATCCAGGCAAGCAGTCACCATCACTTTTCCTAGGATATTCACCACAGTCACTGCATGATTGTGACCTTTATAGATACGCACAAGCTCACCAGTCTACAACAGAAGAGAGATAAGTCACTAACTTGCAAGATTTCTTTCTACTTATGATTCTATAATTATTATTTATTTTATTTTAGATTCAAGAGGTACATGTGCAGCTTTGTTATATAGGTATATTGTGTGGTGAGGTTTGGGCTTCTACTGAGCCTACTCCCAGGTAGTGAGCATGGTACTGAGGGGTGGGTTTCCAACCCTTATCCTCCCGACCTCCTTACTTTAGTAGTCCCCAATGCCTGTTGCGCCCATCCTTATGGCTGTGTGTATTCAGTGTTTTGGTTCCACTTATAAGTGAGAACATGCAGTATTCAGTTTTCTGTTTCTGTGATAATTCACTTAGAATGATGACCTCCAGCTGCATCCATGTTGCTGCAAAGGACATGATTCTTTTTTTTTTTTTTTTTTT